GTGTCCCCTGGTCTCCAGCAGCTGTGTGTGTCACTCTTTAGTGTCCCCTGGTCTCCAGCTGTGTGCGTCACTCTTTAGTGTCCCCTGGTCTCTCAGCTGTGTGCGTCACTCTTTAGTGTCCCCTGGTCTCCAGCAGCTGTGTGTGTCACTCTTTAGTAGTCCCCTGGTTCCAGCAGCTGTGGTGCGTCACTCTTTAGTGTCCCCTGGTCTCCAGCCGCTGTGTGCGTCACTCTTTAGTGTCCCCTGGTCTCCCAGCTGTGTGCGTCACTCTTTAGTGTCCCCTGGTCTCCAGCTGTGTGCGTCACTCTTTAGTGTCCCCTGGTCTCCAGCTGTGTGCGTCACTCTTTAGTGTCCCCTGGGTCCCCAGCTGTGTGCGTCACTCTTGTGTCCCCGGTCTCCAGCTGTGTGCGTCACTCTTTAGGTCTCCAGCTGTGTGCGTCACTCTTTAGTGTCCCCTGGTCCTCTCCCAGCTGTGTGCGTCACTCTTCAGTGTCCCCTGGTCTCCCAGCTGTGTGCGTCACTCTTTAGTGTCCCCTGGTCTCCCAGCTGTGTGCGTCACTCTTTAGTGTCCCCTGGTCTCCAGCTGTGTGCGTCACTCTTTAGTGTCCCTGGTCTCCAGCTGTGTGCGTCACTCTTTAGTGTCCCCTGGTCTCCCAGCTGTGTGCGTCACTCTTTAGTGTCCCCTGGTCTCCCAGCTGTGTGCGTCACTCTTTAGTGTCCCCTGGTCTCCAGCTGTGTGCGTCACTCTTTAGTGTCCCCTGGTCTCCAGCTGTGTGCGTCACTCTTTAGTGTCCCCTGGTCTCCAGCTGTGTGCGTCACTCTTTAGTGTCCACTGGTCTCCCAGCTGTGTGCGTCACTCTTTAGTGTCCCCTGGTCTCCCAGCTGTGTGCGTCACTCTTTAGTGTCCCCTGGTCTCCAGCTGTGTGCGTCACTCGTTAGTGTCCCCTGGTCTCCCAGCTGTGTGCGTCACTCTTTAGTGTCCCCTGGTCTCCCAGCTGTGTGCGTCACTCTTTAGTGTCCCCTGGTCTCCAGCTGTGTGCGTCACTCTTTAGTGTCCCCTGGTCTCCAGCTGTGTGCGTCACTCTTTAGTGTCCCCTGGTCTCCAGCAGCTGTGTGCGTCACTCTTTAGTGTCCCCTGGTCTCCAGCAGCTGTGTGCGTCACTCTTTAGTGTCCCCTGGTCTCTCAGCTGTGTGCGTCACTCTTTAGTGTCCCCTGGTCTCCAGCAGCTGTGTGTGTCACTCTTTAGTGTCCCCTGGTCTCCAGCAGCTGTGTGCGTCACTCTTTAGTGTCCCCTGGTCTCCAGCTGTGTGCGTCACTCTTTAGTGTCCCCTGGTCTCCAGCAGCTGTGTGCGTCACTCTTTAGTGTCCCCTGGTCTCCAGCAGCTGTGTGCGTCACTCTTTAGTGTCCCCTGGTCTCCAGCAGCTGTGTGCGTCACTCTTTAGTGTCCCCTGGTCTCCCAGCTGTGTGCGTCACTCTTTAGTGTCCCCTGGTCTCCCAGCTGTGTGCGTCACTCTTTAGTGTCCCCTGGTCTCCCAGCTGTGTGCGTCACTCTTTAGAGTCCCCTGGTCTCCCAGCTGTGTGCGTCACTCTTTAGTGTCCCCTGGTCTCCAGCTGTGTGCGTCACTCTTTAGTGTCCCCTGGTCTCCCAGCTGTGTGCGTCACTCTTTAGTGTCCCCTGGTCTCCAGCTGTGTGCGTCACTCTTTAGTGTCCCCTGGTCTCCCAGCTGTGTGCGTCACTCTTTAGTGTCCCCTGGTCTCCAGCGGTGTGCGTCACTCTTTAGTGTCCCCTGGTCTCCCAGCTGTGTGCGTCACTCTTTAGTGTCCCCTGGCCTCCCAGCTGTGTGCGTCACTCTTTAGTGTCCCCTGGTCTCCCAGCTGAATGTTCTCTAGATGCTGCACGTGTTGTTGCTGAAGATGTTTCTGCATTTGCATGTTAGTTTTAATGTTAGTGTTTTTATATTTGCATCCTTTCTGAAGCTGCAGCGTGTTTCTGTTAATGGAGGTGTTGTAGAGCGTTTGCACCTGCTAGCCTCCGTATAATTCTCATTCCAACTACTTCTCAGTACCTGGGTCAATGTACTGGGACACATTAACCACTTAATGCGAGACACTTTAAACAATGATGTTGTGTTTCTTTGTGTTCCTGCATTAGATGCTTGTTGCTGTAGTGAACGCGTGAAGTCACATGTCTCCCGTCTCCTTCTGGGAACTAAAGTCTCTATTAAGAAATTATAAAAAATACACAACATCTGCAGGACGACCGCCACTGTCGGAGCGTCTGGAGGCGGAGTCAGAGTGACGTGAAGAGGGCGGGACTTCCTGTGAGCGGGACGACAAGATGCTGCTGACTTCCTGCTGCTGGCTCTGGTAAGCTAAACACACACTAAGTATCTCAAACATTTATTTCAGTGACAGTAGAAGTACTCAGATCTTGTACTTGAGTAAAAGTAGAAAAGTATTATCATCAAAATATAGTTAAAGGTCACCTATCATGCTATTTTTAAGCAATAGCATAGGTCTCAGATATATAAAAATATATAAAAAACATATCTACAGTATGATGTTTTGCTCAAAATACCATACAGATCACCCATTCTAGCCATGCCTCATATCCCTCTATTTCACTTCCTGTTTCAAAAGTGCTGATTTGGGGTATAAAGCTTAAAAAAAAGAAGAAGAAATTGATAATAAAAAAGGAGGGGTCTGAGCTCATGTGGGACCCGGCAGCTACTGTCTAAACTAAATTCTGCCGTGATGAAACGCCATATCATGGATTATCAAGGATTGTCTCTGAAACAGTATGGAGCTCAAAGGCTTTCTCTCTTGCCGGTTATACCACAAGGTGAGTTCCTTTTGATTTCCTGCTTCTTCACACACATGCTCTCCAGTACAGGTTAGCTCTGAGTGTTAGCGATGCTAATGTAAACACCAACCATATTACGGCCAACACAGTCGGGCATTGTTTCTGATAGCAACTTTCTGATATTGAGTCATATCGGACGCAAATCTGGATCAGCTCCGTTGTTCCCCCGTTTTTAGAGATTTGGGTACGGAGGAAAAGAGAGAGGGTTTCATTTTCTGACGCTGCGTGAGTTCCCTGACACACCGGGGACACACCGGGGACACACCAGGGACACACCGGGGACACACCAGGGACACATATTTATGTATACAAGACATCAAAAAGTGCATTTTGCATGATAGGTCCCCTTTAAAGTAGCGACAGTAAAAGTAGTCATTGTGCAGATTGGTCCATTTCAGAATAATATATATGATATGTTTTATAATGATTGATCATGAAAGTGTTCTCAAAGCTGGTAAAGGTGCAGCTAGTTTGAATGACTTTGTATACTGCAGGGTAGCTTGTGGATTTACTCCAGGTGGAACTAACGTCTGATTTAACACTTGATTAGATTTCACATCATTCATCCACATCTGTGAAGTAACTAAAGGTATTAAATACACGTAGTGGAGTGCAGTCTGCTGGTCTGGTAATGAAAGCTGTGTTTCTTCTTCAGGTGTTTCCTGCTGATCCTGACAGTTCCTCCTGCTCTCGGGGTGAGTTCATCACTCTAATGGTTTTAATGGTTTTGCACAATTTAATAATGCACAAACATAACAGCTAACAAATCATGTACAGTGCAGGAAGAGGCAAAAAAAAACATTGGGCTTATTTAAAGCCTATACCTAAATAAAACTATTTAATATAAACACAAGATCATCAGAGGTGGGAGAAGTACTCAGATTTTGTACTCAAGTTAAATACCAGATTATAAAAATACTCTACTTTAAAGAGTCCTCTCCTGCTGATGTTCAGGTGTGTATCAGTATGCAGTGTCTCTACTTTAAAGAGTCCTCTCCTGCTGATGTTCAGGTGTATATCAGTATGTAGTGTCTCTACTTTAAAGAGTCCTCTCCTGCTGATGTTCAGGTGTATATCAGTATGTAGTGTCTCTACTTTAAAGAGTCCTCTCCTGCTGATGTTCAGGTGTATATCAGTAGTGTCTCTACTTTAAAGAGTCCTCTCCTGCTGATGTTCAGGTGTATATCAGTATGTAGTGTCTCTACTTTAAAGAGTCCTCTCCTGCTGATGTTCAGGTGTGTATCAGTATGCAGTGTCTCTACTTTAAAGAGTCCTCTCCTGCTGATGTTCAGGTGTATATCAGTATGTAGTGTCTCTACTTTAAAGAGTCCTCTCCTGCTGATGTTCAGGTGTATATCAGTATGTAGTGTCTCTACTTTAAAGAGTCCTCTCCTGCTGATGTTCAGGTGTATATCAGTAGTGTCTCTACTTTAAAGAGTCCTCTCCTGCTGATGTTCAGGTGTATATCAGTATGTAGTGTCTCTACTTTAAAGAGTCCTCTCCTGCTGATGTTCAGGTGTATATCAGTATGTAGTGTCTCTACTTTAAAGAGTCCTCTCCTGCTGATGTTCAGGTGTATATCAGTATGTAGTGTCTCTACTTTAAAGAGTCCTCTCCTGCTGATGTTCAGGTGTATATCAGTATGTAGTGTCTCTACTTTAAAGAGTCCTCTCCTGCTGATGTTCAGGTGTATATCAGTATGTAGTGTCTCTACTTTAAAGAGTCCTCTCCTGCTGATGTTCAAGTGTATATCAGTATGTAGTGTCTCTACTTTAAAGAGTCCTCTCCTGCTGAAGTTCAGGTGTATATCAGTATGTAGTGTCTCTACTTTAAAGAGTCCTCTCCTGCTGATGTTCAGGTCTATATCAGTATGTAGTGTCTCTACTTTAAAGAGTCCTCTCCTGCTGATGTTCAGGTGTATATCAGTATGTAGTGTCTCTACTTTAAAGAGTCCTCTCCTTCTGATGTTCAGGTGTATATCAGTATGTAATGTCTCTACTTTAAAGAGTCCTCTCCTGCTGATGTTCAGGTGTATATCAGTATGTAGTGTCTCTACTTTAAAGAGTCCTCTCCTGCTGATGTTCAGGTGTATATCAGTATGTAGTGTCTCTACTTTAAAGAGTCCTCTCCTGCTGATGTTCAGGTGTATATCAGTATGTAGTGCCTCTACTTTAAAGAGTCCTCTCCTGCTGATGTTCAGGTGTATATCAGTATGTAGTGTCTCTACTTTAAAGAGTCCTCTCCTGCTGATGTTCAGGTGTATATCAGTATGTAGTGTCTCTACTTTAAAGAGTCCTCTCCTGCTGATGTTCAGGTGTATATCAGTATGTAGTGTCTCTACTTTAAAGAGTCCTCTCCTGCTGATGTTCAGGTGTATATCAGTATGTAGTGCCTCTACTTTAAAGAGTCCTCTCCTGCTGATGTTCAGGTGTATATCAGTATGTAGTGCCTCTACTTTAAAGAGTCCTCTCCTGCTGATGTTCAGGTGTATATCAGTATGTAGTGTCTCTACTTTAAAGAGTCCTCTCCTGCTGATGTTCAGGTGTATATCAGTATGTAGTATCTCTACTTTAAAGAGTCCTCTCCTGCTGATGTTCAGGTGTATATCAGTATGTAGTGTCTCTACTTTAAAGAGTCCTCTCCTGCTGATGTTCAGGTGTATATCAGTATGTAGTGTCTCTACTTTAAAGAGTCTTCTCCTGCTGATGTTCAGGTGTATATCAGTATGTAGTGTCTCTACTTTAAAGAGTCCTCTCCTGCTGATGTTCAGGTGTATATCAGTATGTAGTGTCTCTACTTTAAAGAGTCCTCTCCTGCTGATGTTCAGGTGTATATCAGTATGTAGTGTCTCTACTTTAAAGAGTCCTCTCCTGCTGATGTTCAGGTGTATATCAGTATGTAGTGTCTCTACTTTAAAGAGTCCTCTCCTGCTGATGTTCAGGTGTATATCAGTATGTAGTGTCTCTACTTTAAAGAGTCCTCTCCTGCTGAAGTTCAGGTGTATATCAGTATGTAGTGTCTCTACTTTAAAGAGTCCTCTCCTGCTGATGTTCAGGTGTATATCAGTATGTAGTGTCTCTACTTTAAAGAGTCCTCTCCTGCTGATGTTCAGGTGTATATCAGTATGTAGTGTCTCTACTTTAAAGAGTCCTCTCCTGCTGATGTTCAGGTGTATATCAGTATGTAGTGTCTCTACTTTAAAGAGTCCTCTCCTGCTGATGTTCAGGTGTATATCAGTATGTAGTGTCTCTACTTTAAAGAGTCCTCTCCTGCTGATGTTCAGGTGTATATCAGTATGTAGTGTCTCTACTTTAAAGAGTCCTCTCCTGCTGATGTTCAGGTGTATATCAGTATGTAGTGCCTCTACTTTAAAGAGTCCTCTCCTGCTGATGTTCAGGTGTATATCAGTATGTAGTGTCTCTACTTTAAAGAGTCCTCTCCTGCTGATGTTCAGGTATATATCAGTATGTAGTGTCTCTACTTTAAAGAGTCCTCTCATGCTGATGTGCAGGTGTATATCAGTATGTAGCGTCTCTACTTTAAAGAGTCCTCTCCTGCTGATGTTCAGGTGTATATCAGTATGTAGTGCCTCTACTTTAAAGAGTCCTCTCCTGCTGATGTTCAGGTGTATATCAGTATGTAGTGTCTCTACTTTAAAGAGTCCTCTCCTGCTGATGTTCAGGTATATATCAGTATGTAGTGTCTCTACTTTAAAGAGTCCTCTCATGCTGATGTGCAGGTGTATATCAGTATGTAGCGTCTCTACTTTAAAGAGTCCTCTCCTGCTGATGTTCAGGTGTATATCAGTATGTAGTGTCTCTACTTTAAAGAGTCCTTCTCCTGCTGATGTTCAGGTGTTCCCACGGGCCTATCAGAAACCTTGCTCTCAGAAACAATGAGACATGTTTTGGAAGTAATATGGTCTGTGTTTACATTAGCATGCTAACACTCAGAGCTAACCTGTACTGGAGAGAGTATGTGTAAAGAAGCAGGAAATCAAAAGGAAGTCACCTTGTGGTAAACCTGAGAGAGAGAAAGAGTTTGAGCTCCATACTGTTTCAGAAATAATCCTTGATGTGGTTTGGAACATGATATGGAGTTTAATCACGGCAGCATTTAGCTGAGTCTCTGCTGGGAGAATTATTTCAAAGCTACAGACCCAGAATCAGCACTTAAGTAACAGCTGGAAGAGAGGGGGATGACGCTAAAATACATGGCCTGTTTGGTATTTTGAGCAAAACACTTCATAGACATGTTTTTTATATATCTGTATATACCTGAGACCCATAATATATGCCTAAAAATTGCTTAATAGTAGACCTTTAAGGCAAACAGCTGATGCAGAAAACAGAGGAATATTGGGAGAAATCTGATGGGTGGTGGACAGCAGATAGCTAGCTAGCGATAGCCACATTCCTGCTGATAGCTACGCCTGAATGATAACCTGGTTTACACAACGCTGCAGGAATGTGGTGCTACACAAACACTGCTGCATGCTGGGAAACACACCGTCTGGGGCCCACTGAGATTAAAAAACACACACACACACTTGTCCAGGTCACCAAGGGGGGCCCTCAGTGTGGGACGTGTGAAGCGGGGACCGTCAGTTTTATTATTCTATCTTTACTGAAAAAGGACCGGGAATAAAAACACAAACAGCTCACACAGAGTACACAGAGTGCATGCAGTATTAATACACGGAGTACACAGAGTGCATGCAGTATTAATACACAGAGGACACAGAGTACATGCAGTATTAATACACAGAGGACACAGAGTACATGCAGTATTAATACACAGAGGACACAGAGTACATGCAGTATAAATATACAGATTACACAGAGTACATGCAGTATAAATATACAGATTACACAGAGTACATGCAGTATAAATATACAGATTACACAGAGTGCATGCAGTATGTTTTGACTGCCTCTCTGTTTGATGATATCTGATATAAGAACAGAAGCTCCACATCTGTCCTCATTCACACCGATCAGAGTGTGTGTGTGTGTGTGTGTGTGTGTGTGTGTGTGTGTGTGTGTGTGTGTGTGTGTGTGTGTGTGTGTGTGTGTGTGTGTGTGTGTGTGTGTGTGTGTGTGTGTGTGTGTGTGTGTGTGTGTCAGGAGAAATGGATGCTTGATTGTCACTGGCGTTATCTGATAAACACACACACACACACACACACACACACACACACACACACACACAGTCAGCTGTCTGCGTGCTAAGGATCTCAGAGATGCTTGTCTGTCTGCTGGCTGTTTACATTCCTCGGTGTCTGCACACAGCATCAGAAACACAGAAACACACACTGTAGCAGACACACACACACACACACACACACACACACTGCAGCAGACACACACACACCTCTTTCTGATCCTGAAGCGATTCAACTTAAAAAAATCTGAAAACGTGACTCAGTTTTCCAAAGTATCGCCATTGCTCGAGACAATCAGCGATAGTAAATGTATTTTGTGACGCAGCGTTATTAAAACAAGGACAATGATCAAAAGGGCATGAACTACAAAGATAATGGAGCTTCATTTCCAAAAATATATCAATATTTAAACTGCAGCTGTCAAAGTACGGAGGCCGACAGTTCCATCAGTAGAAACACGCTGCAGCTTCAGAAAGGATGCAGATAGAAAAACACAAATGTTCCAAAACTGGGAGACCAGGGGACACTAACTTGACAACACGCTGCACATGTTGTCAAGTTGCTGAAGATGTTTCTTCATGTGGAACATTTGGGTTTTTATATCTGCTTCGTTGCACCTGGCTGTCGGACACCGTAGTTTATTTTGCATTTCGAGTAAAGAATTCCCTCCAATCAGACGACAGAGATCTAAAGTGATGTCGCAGCGTTTCTGATGATGTCATAACGCTGTTGTGGTGACGTTGTTGTTGTTGTTTTTCTGTTGGTTTCCAGGGCGATCACACAGAGCCTTGCGGCGGTCGGGACTGCTCCACCTGTCAGTGTTTTCCCGCCAAAGGAGCGATGGTGAGTCTCCGCCCACTCTTTTTACACACCTGTGACACCTTCACTGACACACACACACACGCGCACACACACACACACACACACACACACACACACACACACACACATACTGCAATGTTATTTCCTTTTATTTAGTGGGAACGCTGATACAGCATTCCCACTAAATGTTATGCCACGGACGAAAAGTTTATTATTATTCCGTCCAATTATTTTGTCCCTCTTCTTCTCCCACATTCCACATCGCAGAAACTCCGTTCAAACATCAAAACGTTCAGCTCGGTCGGGAATCGATGGCTATTACTTTTATCATTCATAACTTTCATAATTCCAGAGATACATCCCATAATTCATCACATTTTTAACATTGAAGTCAATGGAGAAATTCTTCAGACTTCAACAAATCTTCATGCGACTTCAACTGCTAACTGTTCATTCATACTTTCACTCAGAAACCTCATTCCAACTTTAAAATGTTACACATGTTTCTGACATTATTCGTGTAACACAACTTTGTAACACAATCTGATTCTTACTTTTAGAGATATTAAACATTGTTCAGACCTTGGTACAGAGGTTTTCTTCAGATTTTAACATTAACTAGAGTACGTGATGTCACAGCTAGAGGGTATGAAATTTTGAAATGTGCCTTCATATATTTCATATATTTTTTTAAAACTGCCATAATTCCCAAACCCTACATTCCTGAGACATAATGTTTCATGATAAACGTAGGAAAACATCTCGTAGCTTGAAAAATGACAAATAATTAAGCAAAATAATTAAACAAAATGCCTCTTGAGGGCATGAAGTGACAAAAACGTTCAACATGTCTCCATTAAAGCCCATTGTAATTTCAGGCAGATATTTCCTCACAGCAGCAGCCGCACACCTTTCTTAAACTGCCAAAAAGGCCACATTATTAACCCGAAAGTACACAAAAATTACACTTCAGATACTCAACTTCCTTGACATGCTTCACGTTTTGAAATTTCACAGATATCTGTTATCGTTCTTCCACAAAACGTTCACATGTAACAGGTTCATCTCTCATTCAGAACAATGAAACCTTTGAAGTCTAGGCACCTCGTTAGCTCAACGATGAACACCTGTGCAATGGAAGACGATGAT